GTAGTACATTTACATTTGCGATGAGGAGTCATCTCATCTTTGACAATAATGTTGCATGGAAATATGGATCAAATAAAAGGAAAAATAATATTTCCAAGAAAACTTTGTAACTGCATGCCAACTAACGTAAAAATGTTTTATACAGAAGATTTTAATCTCTTGTCAATTGTAATGATTGCTGTGTGTTATGATTGCTTGTACTTAATTCTTATGTCTGAGCAGTGCAAAGATGACTTACCTTGTATTTTATATGTCACTCAGATCACAATGAACTAGATTTTGTACAATGACAGTATCTTGGATGGAACCTCATTGAATATTAGCTTGAAATGAGACACCATTAGATAGATTGTTATTATTCACAATTTCCCTTGTTTAGCTTTTGTTTGTGTGTGAATGTTTTTGGTACTGATGTGTGTGTGTGTTTTATGTTTGCTTAAGATATGGCCCAGGCCAGGCAGTAGACGAAATGAGATTTAAGTGTTCAGCTCTGTGGTTGTCTTTGATAAATCTGTTGTATTTTAACTTGCATGTCCCAGATAAATCCAGCTGTGTGCTTAAACATCTATTTTTAATCTTGTTGAAGAAGAAATATGTAAATACTACCAAGTCTTGTAAATACTAGTAGCATTTTCGTCCTTGAATCGTACGTGTAACGTTACATGTAAATATGACTTAAAAATTTCTGTTTTCTCAGATTGTTGTCTAAGAGATTGCATGTACAGATTCTAGAAATATTGCATGTAGTTAAAATCTGTAGTGACTCTAGATTGAAGCTAAAGGCTAAAGAAAAACGCAGCATTTAACTGTAACATTGAATGGGATATTTGCATTGCTTTCAAAGTTATAGGTAATTGAGAACAGTAGAATCATTTCATACAGACTACAAAGACTATTGTACTCTTTGTAGAATCTAATAACAGTGCATCCATCTGTAATACAAATAACTTCTGAATCACTTCTCTTTTGACAACGATTCTCCATTTGAGGAGCTTCTCATGCTGGTACTACACACTTCTCTCTTGGTTCTTACTTTGATTCAGGAATAAAGATGTCTTTACCATGAGGCCAAGTCTATTTATTTCTTGGGAAACCTTGGGACAAAGTATTTGCATTTTTGAAAGCAGACTTTTGACAAGGGTATGATTTACAACTTGTGACTAATTATATGATATTGAAGGGTTTGTTTGAACGTTTTCATAGGATACAACCTAGACTTACTGATAAGTTCTTCGAGAATTGTTGGTTACTTCATTCTGAAGAATAATCAATTGTCATACAGAAAGAAATCCTGCTTCCATATTTCTGACACGTTAAAATCGCATTGAGATGAAAATTAATGTCATATAATGTAATGAAGTCAGTGTGGGCTTATCGAACGTCACAAAATAATGCCTCTACGTCACTCATCATTGTACAAGAACAAAGGTTTCCAAGGCAACCCCGTTCCGGAATCTATTGTTGTTATCTTTGCACTTGTTAGTTGCTTGTGCCTGTCGTTGAGAAGCATTGCTGCTAGTCGTGTCTGCTTTCTCGACTTCTCAGAGCTCTTTCTAGCAAAGTTATAACGACGTCAAGAGCGTTTTATAATCGTTTCTAATCCGTGTACGCGTGCGGAAGCGTAAGAGAATTATGCAAGCCGCTAGGACGGCGCTTTCCGTGGCCGCTAAGGTGTGCCTCAGGCCTCGGTTTACCAAATGTACCTCCTGGACAAAGACTATCGCAGGTAAACTATAGTACATACATTTTCTAACTCCCCATTAGCAATTCCAACTCCAGTGTGTGCAACACGATAATCTACATGGAACAGATTGGTTTAAACATGTGCAATTTAAGTATTGATGTTGCTTGCTTTCTTTCTTTCTTAGGATGATTATTACTACTGTATATGCCTTGTAACGTTATTGCCTCTCACTCTTCCAATTTATTTAGCCTGGGTGCCATCCTCTGTAGTTTTCGCCCGCTCTCTAATTAGTGTCGCTGCCTACCACGGAAAACTACGGATGATGGCTACAATTTATTACGGTACCAGACATGATCAGAAGAAATAAGTGGGCGGATTTTTACTGCTATACAGAAAACATCAGTTTTATTCCCCCATCTTCCGGCGTTGCAGGAGACCAAGGGCTAAAGATGTCGCTAACGACGTCAGCTTACCGCCCTGGAGAGATGGAGAAAAACGTGAACTGTCTCCAGCCGAACTTCAACTACCGGTCAGGTCGGACTGACTGGAGTAAGACTGCCGTGCGCTCAGCTATCGGAGCTGGGGCCTTGATCACTGCGGGAATTTACGGGGTGAGCCAGTATTTCACATCTCTTTGGTTTTCATCGCGGAAAGCATCACTGTTTGTAAAGCTACCAAAACGGATGTGGTGTTCTAGAACGGCTAACCATGAGACAGCATCTGTAGTTGTTTCAGTTTTCATCTATTCATTTCGCGTTCCCTGTGTTTTATGAATAAGCACATGTACATTTTAAAAATGTTTTGATGAATTTGTGGGTTGTATAGCCTGGTATCCATCCTTTTTTTATCTGTGCGGGTTCCACCCTGAATTCGACGACACGGGTACTACAGTGGATGAGCCTAGAGGGAGAGTATAGAAAGAAACGTTCTCAAGTTACCCGCCAACTTGTATCGAGAACTAAAACTGAGTAGAAGACGGCATAAATCTTACGCAAAACGCCTGTGTTGAACTTTGTTTCTGTGGTATATCCACCAGTTGCATCTGCAGTCCAAAACCACACGGTCAGAAGAGAAGTTCAAGGTATTTGCTGTAGAAGATGATAAATCAGAGTTATCAGACGTAACTGACGTGAGTCGGCTTGACCGTGACACAGATGACAAACCGTGTGGTGCCGCGGAGGGAAATCGTGAGCCCGGCAAACCAACGGCTGGAAGCGAGCCTGCAGACGTGTCCCCCGAGTCCCCCGAGTCTCCTACACCTGCTGTAGAGAAGCCGGAGATGGCTACTGGCACTGCCAGGGAAAATGGCGACGAACGTCCTCGTCAAGACCCTGACAGCGATGCACTGGGGAGCGCTCAGGAAGTCCTGGCCCCATTTATCAAGGAGAGGAAGGCTTTCCTAGTAGAAAACATCACACCACCTGATGACAACGCGATCACCGAATCTGTCCAGAAATCATCAAAACCAGCAGACATCTTACTACGGCTGATATTCTTCATCTGTCTCTATTTCGGATGGGTCAGGCTGCTGCCGAAAAGGGTTACATACGAAGCCTACAGTCGTGGCGCAGATGCCATGAAGCTCGCAGAAAGCCGCCAGAATGCAACCTTCCGCAAACCTCCTCAGAGAAGGGGGCCCAAGTTCTCAGGAGGAGGAGGCTGAGACGGATCAGTTCCTCGAAGGGCGGAGGACGCCATGAACTGTAAAGACGCCGCGCGTCTGTCTGTCTGGAGATGAGTTCCAGGAAAAGTTCATGACCTTGAGGAGTGAACGTTGAACTTCTCGAAAGTACGTAATATGAACAGTGGCTGTGTCACACCTGAAGACGCGCTGGAAAGCTGCCCTGGAAGGTGACCACGAAAGGAGCCGACGCCGCGCGTCTGTCTGTTTGGAGATGAACTTGAGGCGTGAACGTTGAACTTCTCGAGAGAATGTAATACTATGAACTGTGACTGTCACACAGAAAGACGCGCTGGAAAGCTGCGCTGGCAGGTGTCCATGAAAGGAGCCGACGCTGCGCGTCTGTCTGTCTGGAGATGAGTTCATGAGAAAAGTTCATGAGCTTGAGAAGTGATGGTCGCACTTCTCGAAATAATGTAATACTATGAACTGTGACTTCATCAACTAAGACGCGCTGGGAGGTGACAAGAGGCGAGCCGACGCCGCAAGCCTGTCCTTCTGGAGATGAGTTTTAGGAAAAGTTGGAGTAAGAGCAGTTCCTGAAAAGAAATAGTATATATACTATGAAGACGCGTTGAAGTCGTGGCTGGGAGGTGACAGGAGACCAGGAAAGCTCGTGTAGATGGAGCTTGAGAGAGCACAGCAGGCAGGGGTCGAGAACGGAGGTCTGTGTTCAGCCACTTCAGTTCGTGGGCCATGCACACGGGGCCATGCATACAGATGGAGAACGGGGATGGTCGGGCCGGTAGATATCGATATGGCCGGATAGTTAGCTAGTCATACCGCATGGATAGAAACAATGAAGTCTGCTTATATTGATGATGGCGAAGATACTTTATTCATCATATTGTGAACCGGGACATGAAAATGTTACGGTGCGTTTCCAATCAAATAGTTCATGAAAAACGTTATGAAAGATGGGAGATTTCTGCACATACATGTACATGTACTCGGACCACGCTCTCCTTAACTAGTAGTGGAGTAGCGTAGGCAACGCAACATAGAACTACTTGTAGATCACTTCTAGGGTGATAGAAGTAAGATGTTTTCCCCAAACGAATCGAAGAACTGACTCTGAATTTCTAACCAATGAACCCTAACGCAATATTTCCTAATCAAACATAAACAATGTGCCACAAGTATTGAACCAAATTAAAGGTCAACGCCTTTTTCTTCATTATTTGAATCAAGTACCTCACAGTTTTCACTTGTACCGTATCTCTGTATGGTAGTGAAAATCCCCACTTTGTGTTGTGCATCTGGTAAATACAACGTCTGCTGACTTGTCTCATATACAGTTTGTTCTTCAGTGATATTGATTACATACAGGTACATCAGATACTTCTAAACGGTGGGGTCATCTGCCATATACCAATCAGGTGGCATCTACAATACAACAAGCTGTACAAATCTGCCCAGGACTGTGCCATCAAATTCTCCTGAAAGAATTGTCATGGACACCATAGACACGGAGATACTGGCTGCCATTAGATTAGACATTAGACACTGAGGTGGAAGATGGAATGAAGAAAGGTACGCCCAGCTAGTTTGGCATCACCTTGAGATTGGCAAAACTGTCCAATTATTAGTTTATATGAGAAAATAAAAAAATATATCAGAGTAAAGCACACGTCATGCTTTTCTCTACTTTTTGAGATGTATACTTTTAATGTTCATGATCACACATGTTGTAATGATAACAAATAATGCCCCATGGCATACTAAACGTTTCTTATTGCAGTATGAACAAGCAGCAGTACATAAACATACTTGCACGAGCAGCACAGAACAGAATGCATGTACAATACTGGACATAGCGCACACAACGTAACGTAACATACGCCTGGCATGAAACGAAACATATCATATGCCTGGCATGAAACAAAAGTATTAAATATTGCAGTATCATCATTGATTGCTGCATTTATCATAGGTACATGTATGTGATTCCATACTTTTGAATAACAAGAAGCACTGTATAAGTGGTCTCAACAATCTTTTACATGTTTTGAAAATAGATAAAAAAAAAGATCAAAGGAAGTGGGGGTGACAAAAAGTCGGTACACATTTTTCTTGCTTTTCAGGTTTACAGTTGATACAGTTTCTATACCTGTTGTACCTTCATTTCACTTTTCAAGTTCCATCATTTGATTTGTGATGCTTTTTTTTTCATTTTTACACAACAACGTTAATTTTACATCCACCCTGGATTGTTACTTAGTTTTTAACCCCTATCACACTATGGAGGCTACATATCAAATCTTAACCAGCACACTACTAACTCCCTTCCATACTCTACCATACATAAGTAGAGTTCACACTCCAAGTCTATTTCTACCTGACCCATTCATAGCATATGGCTTTTGCACAACTTTCTGCCTCTGTTATGGGTGTAATGGCAAGATGTGAGTATTTAATACATGTCAAATGTTGATAGTGATGTAGCATTGTTGCTCTTTTCATCTCTCGATTTAGCAGTTGATGAATAATATATTGACCTTGACAATGAGTATGTAACATGCATGTAAATAGTTTGATTTGCTGTTACTGTTTCTAAAACTGCTTCAAGTCTACTATGCAACTCCATCTGTGACAACTGAATGCATTACAATGACTAACTCATCCAGAGTATTTCATTCATATAATAAATTAAGTTAAAAGTGGTCAAGCTTTATTGTCAACTTTTTCCCTTCGTATTCAATAACTTCATCCTGAGAGCTGTCACATTGGTCCAAGTGTTGATTGGGTGAACACAAATAAAAACATGAAATACAACACAATAAGGTTACAATGAAGATGACAGATGGTCATCTAAACACCAGCTCTTGTTAAACAAGTGGTTGTGAATTAAAGAACTTTGCTATTCAATCATTCACCAACCTGATGAAATTTTTTTAATTCACAGAGATTATGGAGAAGTTAGTAAAATCTATAGACACATAAATGATTTAAGGTAATCAGTGGAAAAGCTGGCCTGGCTGAATACCACAAATGTTAAAACATAGTTTTTATCAGATTTGCCAAGATGTGCCAACACAATTGGAAAAGATCCACCCAAATTCTAGCCTCTTTTGCTCATAACTCCTAAAAAAAATCAGGAAGAATTTGGTGCCATACAACAAAGATTAAAAGGAAAGATACCACATTGCAAAATTTTTGATACATGACAAAATTTGTCTCCTTTTTACATTTGGATACAACATTTTGTAGATGGTGAGATATTCATAAAGGTTTCATGTTCACAAAGACCATACACTTGTGCTTTGTCTTGTATTGCCTTACTGCAGTTGTCTCAACTGTGAACTGAAAGACACTGTGAACTTCTGATTTGCACATTGTTTGTTCCCCAACACGCTCTCTTGGCCTATGAGGCAAAGTGTGCGCACTGCCACTAGTGGGGGGGCACTATCCAAACATGCATGCACCGTGGCCCTTTGCATGTGCAATCAACCAGTATCGGGTCCCCCCATTCTTAGCTCCGTGCCATGAAATTTGATGAATTTACAGTACAATGGAGGCTCACATACAGTCTTAGCTTCTTCTAAAAGCATATTATAACTTCATTTAAATCCCCACAATCCCTTCATGAGGACCAATCAAGAGTCCCAATCTGGGATGTACGTGTATCAGTACTTTACACTAATGTTGTACATCCTTTAAAAAACTTTGTTGTGTACAAATGGCTGAGCTGAGATGAGGTACAGACTGTTATGACTTTTACATACATGTTTATTGTTATTAAGTGGTCACACATGCACACAGTGCTGCATACTTACACGCTGAACTACCATATATAGATAGCTCTCCAGCTCTGATTTGCTGCTTGTTGTCATGTACTTCTCAGATGCACTGAAGTCTGAGAGCATCAAACAGCAGGAAGATTTCAATTTCCCTCAGAGGCATCCAATGCAATTTCATGGTGGCAAAACTGGATAATTTTTTATGCAGTAACTTAAATCAATCCTATCCCGTAGCATACTGAAATCAGTGAGGCAAAAATGCGATGTTGCTGACAGAAAACGGTTGCTTAGTTTGTATCTTAAGTTGGTTCTAGCTATTTATGGGTGGTACCCAAAAATAAAGAGAACCCTCACATAGCATGTTTTGAGGCTATTCCAAATGCTTCAAGTATGAAAGGATGAAAATGAGCTAAGAAATGGCAGTTAATGTCAATATTAGACAGGTTTCCTCATCCAGAATATTTTTTGTTTGTCGCCCTGAAATTGCATTGAATGCCTTTAACAAAGTGGTCTTTTTTCAGCTGACTATACACATCAAGGCAAAAGACCATTATCAGCAATAGTTTAAAAGTCTATACACTTATCATCCGATACTTGGCTTCACAAGGTGAGTCCAAGAAGATGAAACGCGCTGGGCACGCCCTCCACAGCCATCCACATCATGGACAGGTAGGTGACGTATTTGACGGGAATGTCGACGTCCCAGGGGACAGGCTCGGGCTCTGGAGCACGGCTGGCCTGGAGCTGCCTGTCTCCCTCCTCCTCCTCCTCCTCTTCCTCCTCATTACTGTCACGGCTGCTCGGGTTCTTCTTCTTCTTAGGATCCTTCAAGAAGGGAGGATGGGTAAAATCATGATCAGTTCTTTATGAGTTCAAACTACACTGTTATTGACAGCAATCTCTCAAGATCTTTTCATTTAAAAAAAAAGACTGTCCACATAATACATGCATCATCTGGCATTTCCATGCAATGTTTCAAAATGCAAACTGAAATGAATATATTGCATAGGTCTTTATGTCTAACCTTCATCAACATAAAAACTTAAAACAGAAAACTTTAACTGAAAATACATTTACAGCATAGTTACAAGAACATTGAATCCAATCTGTGACAATGTGACTAACATTTTGCACCACGTATGTGAAAAAATATGTGTATAGATTTAAAATTATTAGGACTTTAAATGATGTAAACTGTACCTTTCCTATATACTTTGTCTGACCCTTACCTCTTTCTCATGAAATCAATGAAAAGAAGCCTGCAGGCCAATTTGAGCTTCTCATGAATAAAGAAACAAACAAACAAACAAATCTTACATAGATAGGAGGCAGCAGGTACTCGTCTGAGTAGTGCTTGGACTCGGGAGTGTTGGTTTTGGAGTAGATGCTGCTGCTGTAGACATTGATGTCTGCGAACTGTGCGATGAGGAACAGCAGTGTTCTACAGGGGTACTTCACCATGATACGGGTGGTGAAGACCAGCACACCACCTGGGGAGGCAACCAGGCACCAGTTAGTCAGGCGTTGCCAGCAAGGGAAAACTCTTTCTTTTCTGACGGTTTACTCTTTACAAACTTTTTGGTAGAAGAGCTGAAGAAAACACTATGGCTTGAAAATCATACCAAGTAGAATGCTATCCACATCAATAAACAGTTTCTTTATCATAGAACAGTGTCTTATTCACATTTTGTGTACTTACCAACAATCATTCGTAACAAGGACATTCCTATGATTGCACTCAGTGATGCATGTTCTGAAAAAAAAAAGAAAAATAGCATGTTAACTCCAGTTTAACTCCATTTAAACTGAATCAAAGCAGATAATTTAAACTGAATCAAAGCCGATATTTTCTAACTTATCATAATCATGAACAAATAATTTGCCAACTTTCTTTTTTTTGCACCTGCCACCACTGTGAACATATAGTTCTGTGAACACTTCAATTTTCTCAGACTGTGAACTTTTGCTACCGTGAACATCAAGTCAATAACAGTATGTAAGAAAGCAGCATTGCCTTACCCGACATTGTTTCCAGTAGAGCCAGGTAGGCAGAGTAGTTTCGTATTCTGCTGTGACCGATGATGGCCCCCACAGCCACGCCCATCAACACCACCTGCAACATTTATTTCTATTTACTATTTTTCGACAAAAATGTAGGTGTCATAATTTCAAAACTAGAGGAGATAATTTTTTCCAGCAACTTATTTGGGACATCCAAAATTTGGAACGTCCTTAGTTTTAGGCCATTTTTGGAGGTCCTTAGTTTCACACAATTTTTGGAGGTCCTAAGCTTTACGTAATTGTTTGAGGTCCATAGTTTTACACAATTTTTGGAGGTCATTTTTTTCAGCAATTTTTGGACTCGGAGGTCCTTAATTTTAAACAATTTTCAGAGGTCATTTTTTCCCAGTAATTTTTGGATTTGCTTACCGTGTCAGCGAAGGTCAGGGTTGCAGGTTGGCAGCGAGGGTGGACGATGAGCAGCAGGATGGAGTAGACGAAGGCCTGCAACCACACTGTAACCAACGGTCCATCTCAGGTCAGTGCGACATACTAGTAACTGAATGTACAGTGCAACTAAACACAGCATGACCATAAGATTTCAGACTAACATTTTACAAGAAAAAAAGGTACATTTTATATCCACATTGACACAAGCAGCATTTTTACCATTAGAAACAATGGAGCCTGTTTCCTTACTATCTCAACATATTTCTTTTAGATTGATTTTACTTTGCATTTTTCATATTACGTTCTATTATGTAATAATTAAGCTACCCATTACTATTATCATTGTTTACTACCGGTACCTCACAATCCTATGTACTGCACACATTTCACGATACATTGTCACCGGTTTTTAAGGTGAAAAGAAGTTCAAAAGACACTATTTGCCATCTCACCATGGTTCTCTGGCACAGCGCTCCAGCTGTCCAGCAGGTCGTACACCTGTAGCCAGACGGACAGCACCAGCACACCGAACAGCCCTCCTGTCAGGATGTCAGCTGGGCTGTGCACTCCCAGGTACAGCCGGCTGAACATCAGGGAAAACGACCCTGAACGGGAAAACACCAAGTTACAACATGTTTCTTAGAACATAACTGACTCAATCAATGATTGGTGAATGATTGAATGTTTATTCAAAACCACTTGAATAACATGAGTCGACGTTTCAATGACCATGAATTTTTCTATCAAGATTTTGTCTGTCAGGGTTGACGTATTGTTTTTTATGTCACTCGCCACAGTTTTCTGAATTCACAGAAAAACGGGGGCTGACTACAGTCCTGGTTGGAACACTTAGGATAGCTATCAGTCAGTGTCTATCTGTAACAGTGAAATTCTCTGTACAGCATGTTACTGGAACAAATATGTGAGGAGACTTACATATGCACACAATGATGAAGAGCACGACCAGGAAGGTGGTGGACATGTGGGAGTGAAGGTAGTAGTAGAACCACAGGTAGAACGGTAACATTACCCCCAGCAACGAGTGGTGACTCGGCAATGCCCTGCAAACAGCACATGATATATCGGATGAATTAGTACCATTACATACTAGTGTTCAGCCATAATATGTATGGTTTACTGGTTATCCCACTAACACATTGTTAGGGGGGCTGTGGGCCAATTTAAGCTTTTTGTTAATTATTTTTTTATTTGACTTTCCTATTGAGCAGCAAAGAAAATTGACATATGCACAGAACTTAATCTTCACAGTGGCTGCTTGTGCATGGAGGGGGGGGGGGCAAAAGACAATGATTATACAATGGTAATGATAAGTTCACAATACAAAAGTGACTGCGAAAATCTGGAATTACAGTACATATATACATACTAGTGTTCAGTCATAACATGTAAGGTTTACTGGTTATTCAACAAACACATTGATGCCTGTGGGCCATTTTTGATGCCAATTTTGCATTGAGTGTCCCATTAATTTTTTAATTTCTTTATTTCACCTTAATATTGAGCACCGATGGGGGAGAAAACAAAACAAGTGATATAAAACATAATCAGCCGAACAATAGATCGTGAAGGCAAAGGGCAACAAACTTATTTATCTATGGTGGGTGTTCTGTTTACCTATGACCCCTCCAGTACACAGGTCACAGTAGCTACAATTATCATTCAAAAGAACAAGCGCTACCTTCTCCAAATTTTTTTAAAGTGTGTGTTTCTGCTATTGAGTTGCTTGTTCCATTTTGGTCTTCACTTGTTCCTTGGTTAAAGTACTGTGCTGTTACCAGCTTTGATGTTTCACTATGACTTGACAAAACAGCAAGTTGGCAGTTGTGCCAACAAAACTGCACTGTCCATAGAGCAAAGGTTTCACTACTGAAATAAGTTTGTTTACATTGGAGTGGAAATGTAAACATCGTCATGAGATGCAAACATTGAAACACAAACAGTCATTTCAGTGATAAAAAATTATTCAAATGTCACAGATAACGCAGACAATAATTTACTACACAACAAGCATACAAATTGCTATTTCAGCAGAGACAAAGAAATAAGTCTCATCTTGTGCCAATGGCAGCAAGTTCTGCTCTACGATAGTTCCAGGAAAAAATGTGGTTTGAACACCTCAATTCCTGGTTTTAAGGCATGACTACTTCTTGTTCTTTTCTGACCTGGTTATACCATTGTTGTACATGTTGTGCAAATAGTTGGTACATGTACCAGTATACAAAATGACCCCAAACTAAAGACGTACCAGTCATAGGCTTTCTCTAGACTCTCCACTGCATCTACAGGAGGGCGTGGCAAACAGAGGAAGTTCTGAAAGAGGCACACTGTCATGAGTTCAACAGTTTCAAAAAAACTAACAGTAGATTATCTTAAACTTAACTCTTCATATTGTCTACTCTACGGTTATATAACATGTGAGAATAGGCTAAACGTTAACTTTTTAAGATAATGAATGCTGCTATTGCAAGCAAGAAGCACATATCTTAACATCATGACAAAATTTAGGACTTACCTTCAAGAACCCAGTAACATAAAAACCAATTGCCATTAGCAGAGTATACAGTCGGCCCAGCCGAGATTCTAATACCCTGGAACAAAGTAGAGAACAGACTGGGTTAAAACTTCTCATGTGCATGTGCATGTAGATAAACTAATCGTATTTACTTTACACCTTCATTGTTATATATCATTTGGTAGTTGTGTCACTAAGATCATGTAATACTTAAAGTACAAGTACAGATGTTGGTTGGAAGAGAGATAACATTAATTTCAGATTTTTTGCACGAATGCGGTCCCTAGAAAAAGCTTTCACAATGTATTAAAAGAGAATTCTGACAACCAGTTCAATGTGAGCCAGTCAGAATTGTCCTGAGGAAGGTTGCCTCTTTTTATTCATTAACTAGCATGTTAACTAGGTAGATGACCTACCAGAGCATACACACGACAAGTGGAGTGTAGAAGTCTTCTGTACCCAGGAAACTGATCATCTTCATGGCCCAGGTACGGGCAGGTGTGCGGAATTTCTACAGGAAACAAAAATGACATTGTCAAAAACCATCACACGAATAAACAGACCTATAATGTAATAGAATTTCTGCCTGTGTTATTTCTTTGAGTTGAAGGTAATTGAGGAAGGTGATATGTGTACATATGTTCCTCTTGCGATAGACATACATGTGTAAGAAACAACAGAAATACCATTAACGTGTGATTGTGAATGCTATCTCTTTGCAAGACTATTGCTGCATACAAAGTTGTTTTTTTTTCTTGTCATCATACCATGCACAGAATCATTCTTTGAAAGGTGAAACTGTTCAGGCCAGAGGATGCATTAAGTTCTAGTGCTATGCCTCTTCACAAACTAACAATGGGACTGTACAACCATGTCACACTAAGGGACTTGGCTCATTTTGAAACCTAACTCTTCTGGAACAAAGTTCACTCGACTGATTTTAACTTCATTTGTGTACCCATTCTTATGAAGTTAACTGGATGTGAACAGGACATGCAACACCACAGATGGGGTTTGAATTTGAATGGAAGGCCTCTGTTCAGTGAAGCAGTGGTAAAATGGGGGTTACAATAGTAAAAAAAAAACTTTCATAGTCATCATGTCGAAATGGTATTGCTGGTGATCAGATCATAGAGAAATTGATTATGTTTGTACAACAAAAGCTTAAGAATCAAATTTAAGAATAGTAGAAAACTAAATTTCTGTGTTACCGGTAAATGATACCAAGAAATCATATGAGTGCCTAGGGTCAACTGGCAAAATATTGGGTTATATGTTAAGCCCTTGGGAAAGGCACTTAACATGTATTCCCCCCTCAGTTAGAGGGATCCTAGGCCCTTCTGGGGTTTGGGTTGGTGTTGGGAAGGGCATACAGCCGAAAAAAAATCTTGCTCAACAAAAAAAAAGACTTGCACTTGATGCAAGCACATTTAACCCCCAGTTTTGAGGAAAAAAGACATTAAACTGGATAGAGAGAGAGGTGAAAAAGATGCACATGTCTGGGTGTACAGATGTGTTAACACACCAGACCCCATTTGAACTGACCTGTATGGACACCAGGACAGGTGTGCCCACCAGAATGGACTCCAACAGAATGTGGCGGATCCAGCGCCCATATGGTCCCAACTTGTCTGCAATACAAACCACAGCATGATTATTATTGTAAGAGCTCAGCCATAAACGCACCATACTATAGTAACACCATCACAAAAAGAGGGATTCTTGGGATAGGCAATTCAGCTGTCTTCTTTAATTTGAGAAAGGGATGTCACAGATCCTTGTCAGTGGTTGCTTCTGTCATGTATGCATTACTGCGTAGTACAATTTTATGTTTACGGTACCAGTTAAGATAAAATGTAATTGAGCATTCTAATCACCACCATAAATAAGAATCAAAACATATTCCCATGTCTAGCACAAATGCTGTCAAACACAACCCAGTATTGAACTTGAAATTACATATCTAAGGCAAGTGACGCTGCATTGAATTTGAAATTGCATGTCAAAGGCAAATGATCTAGCATTGGACTGAAAATTGCATGTCTCTGGCATTAATTCTTCCAATAATGAATATTGAATCAGAAGATCTTGCTGGATTTTTAAAAATCCATAGGCAGAAATGTTCTTTTCTCTGTAGATACATTGTACAACAACACAGCCCACAAGTCTATTTCATTTTTTATGTGTACTGTTTCATTCAATCTTGAACTACATAATGTATGTATGTGCACTTTTTTTGTGCAGTCAGGGACAGGGCACAGTAACTCAATCTTTTTAGCCTGTTATGGGTTGGTATAAAGCAGTAACCTAAGAGGCTGCATGTACAATGTAAACAGTGATGCAAGGTCTGATGTAATATCAAACACAGGTCCAGATAGCAGCATTACAGTTTACACAGGCCTTAAGATCAAGGTCCCTCTAGTCAAGGCTACTGACCAGTGCTTGGTACTAAGTGGCTGATGACCTACAGGTCTTTGCCCGTATGTACATTGTACATGTAGAAGTAAAACAACCATCCTGAGTAAAGGTGAAGCTTTATGCCTAAATTTCATCCAGCAAGTGGCACTGTTCCAGCTAACAAGGCTGGATTCCAAGCTACACAAATACATGCACTAGTAAGAACTGAACTGAATTGTGTACAAAGCTTTCATATTCCAACCAAGGGGGTTATAAACAATCAAGACAAAAGACCTTATATCACAACAAAAGGATAATATCATATAATTTGTAAACCTTGGTTCTGTTTTTGTCATGCTATTTTATTTCAGGGTGTCTGGCCCATTTAAAAACCACAATACCAAATACAATTACACTACCTCTTTTGTCTGCTCTAAGATTACAAATTGAGACAGAATATCTCTAACCTAATCTATCTACTTTGTTTGGTGGTTTATTTGGGTTCCATTCCTACTCATTTGCCTGTCTCTCATGACAATGGCTGTGCTGTCTTCCAGAACAACAAAGTAAATCAAATCTTTCAGTCTTAATCCTTTATTCTTAAACAAAACAGATCGTTAAGACAAAATGCATGTACTGTATTATGTGTGATCAACATTTATAGAAAACAATAATTAAGATCAAGATGAGACAATGAAATGATCATAACAAAGCATTGATGGACAGTAACCAAGGAACCAGACAAAGACCTGTACATGAAGGTTTGTTTTTTTTGCTGACTACTACTAGAGCTGTTAGGTAAAGGATATTTGCGTAATGTGTGTAACGGTGACAATAGCAGAGGTGACAATGGGTTCATTCAATGGTGAACAATGGAAACAGGTGGGGCTTCACCAATACTGCAAGCGGTGAGGTGGAACAGCTTGAAGGCAGTGCTAGTACAGGTATTTAGTGGTTTGAAGTGCCCTTTTTGTACTAAATAATCTAAAAACAATCATAACATTAGCTTATGCGATGTAACTAAAACTTCAATACCAAAAAGCTTGTGGAGTCAGTGTCCCACTTGCCTTATCCCCAGAGGCTCCAGGCTCTCCAGTTACCGACACTCAACTTCAGACGACAAAGGACAGACGTGATCCAGCTTTACAAAATCACACACGGGTATGACAAAGTAAGAGTTGGAAACAGCTGCAGTATTTGTAGAGGGACCATGTTTGAACCCAGTCTTTCAACCACCACACGGGGCCACTCCTTCAAGTATCAAGTACAAAAATCACACGGGACGAGGAAGTGCTTCTTCTCTTCAAGAGTCACAAGTGTGTGGAACTCTCTTTCCCAGGAAGCAGTGTCCAGCAAATCAGTAAATGAGTTCAAGAACCATATTGCACACGAGTGGAAGAATCACCAGGATATGTACAACTACACCTTTACGTACTGAACACAGGAGTAGAACTGCTACCGCCGAAACTACCCGAAGTGCGGTCTCATTACCCACACAGGGTACCTATTGACCGGCTACAGGTGAGAAATACAGGTGAGAAAAACTGTTGAAACCACAATAGATTACTCGGTAAAGGCTCTAATCAATGTGTTATCTTGGATTTCAGTTTGAGCATGGAGTTAAAATACAGACTCTGTGGTTTGAGAAACAATTTCCTCCCTTGAAATGGCCCTTGAAATGGCCCAGTGACTGAAGGCTCCTATTCTGGATCTGAATGATGAACTGTTCAGAAGACCTTACTCTAGCACAATGTAGTAAGCTGAGTATCCAGGTATGTCTGTACTAGTACCTGAGCATTGGATTTTGACCATGTAAATTTAAACTCTCAAAAAATACTGGTCCATACTTTAGGCCAATGCCTACAGATAACAAAAGTGAAAATACAGTCAAGATATGTTTGCTTCCGTCCTTGTTGGAAGAATCCTACTAGTATATCATATATGTGCATCCACAGCCATGCAAACTACAATAATATTCATAGTGAACAGGTAAACTTTCAAGGAATAGTAAAGCTGTCAGTGTGCCAACCTGTACCCTGTTCACATATAATAAACTTCACCTTGTAACATGTTTGTCCTACATTGAGAGCCATTCAGGTGCCTTACCCCCTGGGGGACCATTCAATAGGGAATGGCTTCATGGGGTTTGTTAATTACCTGTCACCTGGCAGGCAATAAATATCACTGTTATGCATAGTGTTGCAAAAGTGGCTGTAGTCAAGGGTATTCTGTATAATGTCCTTACTGTAGTAAATTTGCACAGAGTGAACTCTTACACTCACAAATCATTTGAAAGTGGCATGAAGTCCTCAGTAAAACTGTGGCTGATGTGAGTTAGACTTGAGTCTGACTTCAACATTTTTCTTCAGAACAACTTGTGTCTATTTTTTTTTAAATTAAGATACAATGTTCTCTTTCGACCAAACGTAACATTGTGTAATCATGCACTAGTACACGCCGTGTACTACTAGTATCTGGTGCTGGAACAACTGGAACCCAAACTGGAGTACCACAGGAATGATTGATGGGATTTTGACAGCCTCGCGTGTCATCAACTGTCCAATCGGCACAGCTACTACTTAGAAAGATTTGATTCAGCCTCGTGTATGTGTAAAATATACGCAACTTACCGATCGGAGCATGAACGATCCTCCCCTTCTTCTTCTCCGTTCTCCCTTCTCCCCCCTTCTCATCGGAAGACGCTGACGTTCCCTCGGCGTCTGAATCGGACCTGCCCGGCTTGCTACCCTGCCTTTTGCTCGCCCGCGAGCGCGAAACCACCGGCTCTTCAATCTCGTCCGCCGACATGTCGAAATTATCAACTAGAGTACGTACTACTGCAGATCAATCAAGGGAAACAGTAATCCCGTTATGAACGCGACAACTGTGTGCTCAAGAAGGACCCTTGACACCGAGACCGGTCTGGCTCCCCACGATGCGTGAAACGCTCTTTGTTGGCAGCAGACGGAGAGAGATCGCCTTGTGAAAAAAAAACAGGGGAGGGGGGCGAAATCCCCGTATTCTACCACCCTGATTTACCGTAAAAAACACTTCGAACTAGCCGAGTCTTTCTCTACGTAAACTTCCCGTAACCTTCGCCGTCATGGTTCCGATCGCTACACTCGCACGAAGATTTAAAGAAACACCCTGGGAAAACAAGCCGCCGGAAAATGTCGACAGACAAAGCCGAAAAATCAATGACCGAAATTCTTTGGGTGACATTTGACGAACTTTAACCCTCTACGTCATGCGTTTAGCCCATACCACTTTTACTACGGGAGGCAATCTTGTAAACAACAAAAACAAAATTTTACAACGAACAACTTTTTTTATCATCTTTACTGCAGCAAAAAAAAAGTATCTCGTGTATAATTTTTTTTCGGGATGATTCGAGATTGATTATAAAATTGAAAGACTGACCCCTGTATAAATGCAGAATGGAACAGTCCCAAATTGCTGCACAGGATAAGTGCGCACCATCGCGGGAAGTTACCAAAGTTCACCTGGAGTACACACCTAACGGACGTTCACCCCTATTGTTTACCTTTCCGGCCTTATCTAACGCCCTTGTCATGTGCTTGTCATAGTGCCTGTACCCGTGGGAGCATGTAGGAAGGACAGGAAAGCTTTTCTGGACATTTTGGGTAGCTGAAAGTATGAGGTGTACTCTGAGGGTGGGGGTTGGAGTGACAGGGGTCTGCGGAGTTCTGCTACTCGGGTTGGGGATAGGAGCGATCTTTCTGTTCGACAGCTTGTTACGCGATCAGATTAAGAAGGTGAGACTGCTGATTTCGTGGATCTATGATATTGACGTGTACAAGAACGTTCATTTTGTGTCTGAGCATTGATTATTTTGCTATGTTCCAATGGAACGTTAACCTTACTTAACTTCTTGCTAGTGTTTTGACAGCATACCTTAATTTGATTTATGTTTACAAGGACTTAGGACATTATATACAATCTCTCTATATAATGTCCTTGGACTAAACCCGCCGGAAACCAGTATGACACACAGTCTCACAAATGTTTTTTTTTTGTGTGTGTGTTTCTCACTAGAGCAACAGAATCCATGGTCAGCGGTCATTTTTTGTTCCTAAAACAACTCAAATTGACCTGCTGGTCACTTTTTATTAAGGTTTTGACCTTTGCATTCACAACTAGCCATGCTAGGGACACCAGAAGAACCAGTTAACCACAGGAGTTGTTTTTGTAACCACTCCCAACATATCCTGTAATTAATCCACCTTGTATCAATCGATGTTTCTGACTTAGACCTTGATTGTTTCTTTTGTGTCCTGACAGAATGAGGTGATTAAGAAGGGTTCGTACCTGTATGACCAGTGGAGCGACATCCCTGTCCCCATCTTCATGCAGTTCTGGGTCTGGGACTTACTCAACCCAGAGGAGGTCCTCAAGGGAGAAAAACCTGCTGTCATACAGAAGGGACCATACACTTACTCGTAAGAGCCTCAAAACCAAAAAGTTATAGCGCCTCATCTGTGTCTATGAATTATTTGAGCTTACCGGTACCAGTATCTTTTCCAGTAGTAATACATCCTAAAAACGTGTTCTTCGTATGTTTGTTTTTACAATTTTTCAAAATTGTTCAAGAAGGACCAGTCCGACCTCTCACTTCTGTAGCATTAGAAAATTTGCAAATATTGGCAAATCATCAATAAAGAGAAAAGGTATGATTTGCGAATGTCTCAGAATATTTCATGGTTTTTCTTTCCAGGGAGAGAGTAGTGAAGACAAACATCACGTTTCACGACAATGGAACTGTGTCATATCTCCAGCCAAGGACGTTCACCTTCCTCAGGAATATGTCAGTCGGACCAGAGAATGACACTTTCACCTCATTAAACATTCCACTCGTTGTGAGTAGTGATCAACTACAATGTCCTCTTTACACACTCAACAGTCAGAGATAGTGCTAGCTATATATACCATTTTCAGTATCATTAGGGCACGCTGACCTAATTTTATGGATGATGCGCACGCATTGATTTTCGCCTGTTCTCAAAAAAGAAAAAAAAAGATCACGTCCTCTGGCCTGGCTCTAGGCCTGGGTAGTCCATGGTAGTTAGCGACAATAGGGAGCCGGAGGTAACTATGGAGGATGATACTCAGGCTACCGAAGCTCCACGACTTAAGATCTTAGTACATACGTACAGTGCCGATTCATAAATTCCGCGAATAGCCAAATTCACAATACCAGCTTCGTATTCCTGTGGTTTAGTAGCATTTTTATTCTTGGTCGGACTTTTTTTTATTCGCCCGCGCGCACTAGTTTGGGGGTCTTCAGAGGACGTCATCCTTGACCTTTCAGTGGATTTAAGTGGCGTTCTGTTAGGAAGCAACGCCCAAATAATCGCAGCCTTTAACTTCCAGTGATTAACTTGTTAGTTGAGGTGAGGTGAGGTGAGGTCACGAGAGGTGAGGTGAGACATACTTTGTCGACAAATGTACCGATTTTGTATTCACATAAAAGCCACAGGAATACCTTGATAGAAAATACAGAAAATCGAATGGAAATTACCTACACAATACATTTCTATCTTTAAATAAACTGTCATTTTACATCTTATGCTAGATTTAAAGTTATCACTGTTAAACCCATTGAATGACCTTTCATTTCATAGAATTGATGTTCGGATCACATCATTTTACATTAAATTGTCCTTGATTCATTGGTTGATTGCTATATTGGTTTCCACTTTGTGTACAATTATTATAAGTAATGTTACTTAGAAATTTTGGCTTTGGATATACTGCCATTTGAAGCTGGTGTGTTATATGCCAAAGGGCATCATACCGGCTATACAGATACAGATGTTCTAAACTGATGAGAGTCCTGTTTCTCCTCTACAGACCATAGCAGAACTGATCGAGAATGAGAGAGACATTGTAAAAGACCTGGTCTCTGTTATCGAGCGGCTGGCCCAGGAGACACTCTTTATGAAGCTGACTGTGGGAGGGCTGGTGTGGGGGTACAACGACTCGCTTCTCATGGATGTCAACAAACTGGTGCCTGGTCTGCTACCATCGACAGAGTTTGGGCTGTTTATGGGGGTCAGTACATGTACTTCAGACTTAGTTACTAGTATCATGTAAGTTCATCTGTGTTGTTAGTTATAGGTTTAAAGTTAAAACTTTTGGTCCAACACAAAAAGTTCTCTCACCTAGAGCTTTCGACCAGTCACTCTGGTCTTCCTCAGTGACTAGTGACTTTTCTTTTTGAAGGTAGGGTTGCAAATGCCTGTTACAACCTGTTTACCATTATCCATTAGGACAAAGAACAAGCATGTGTGCCAAGGTTAATTAACGCTGTTTTGTCTTTCAGCGTAAAACCAATGGAACAGATGGAGTCTACTCAGTTTTTACTGGGAACGGCGATGTTACCAAAGTCAACATCATTGACACATGGGATGGACAAAAGTGAATATTTTTTACTTTTGTATAATAGTGAAGTTATGTTTATTGTGTGACTTCATACTTTGAACTATATGACTATTGATGTACGAGAACTTGTTATGGTAAACATGATCACAAATCGATAGTACCAGTATTGATTTCTGATCAAAGATTAAAAAATTGAAAATACATGTAACGTTACATGATACTGTAATACATATTGATTATTCAGTACATGGTCTCCAGACATGATTGTCTATCTCAAACTATACAATGTACTTGCGAGACTATTTCAGTTTGTGTAAGGTTTTTTTCTGGTGGAGCTGACTTGTACCTGATTTGTTTGTGTCCTTTTTGTTCTGATACAGATCCCTGAATTACTGGAGTGATGACCCTTACTGTAACATGATCAATGGAACAGGTAACACTCACCTTTAATCATTAACCCCTACATGTATGTGCTGGAGGGTAAAGTTTTAAGTTAGGTACGCACAGAGAAGGATGCAGCTTTAAATGTTTACTAGTACATAGATTTTAAGGCACCCAAATGTCTGTTTTCCTTGTGGCAAAAACATAACTCGTCAGAAACAAACTAACCATGTTTTGTTTTGCCTTTTTCAGATGGAAATTTCTTTCCACCCTTCATAACAAAAGATATGAGAGCTACCTTGTTTTCCACTGACATTTGCAGGTAAGTCATATGATAATGGAATAGCACACACCACCTCCAACATTTTTACTCCCAAATGAAAATGAATGTTGTATTTATGCAGTGTCGATCATGTCTTTGTTTTACAAAAAATCTACCTGAAGGCTGACACCCTGGCCTTGATACTCCCAAGGCACCAGAATGTAAAGATGCAAGATGAATGTCCAAATCAGTTTTCTCTTTTATACATTTGAGTAATAATCTTATCTATGCCAACATTTTGCAACATCTAAAAATAACAGAAAAGAAAACCAAGTGCACACCATTTTCTCTCAGTCAGTCAGTCAGTCAGTCTCAAAAGACTATGAATTTACCCTTGCAAGTGGGAAAAACATTGTACACAGGTATACATAATGCTACATGTTGTAGAATGTCTGTTTTACTTCTGGTGCTTTGATTTTTCCAGGTCTGTTGAAGGAGAGTTTATCCGAGAGAGCTCTGTTCGAGGAATCCCCACGTACAGGTACGAGGCACCGGAGAGGCTGTTCCAGAGCGGTGACATCAACCCTGCCAACAAGTGTTACTGTCAGAACCAGGCCTGTCTGCCTTCAGGACTGCTCAACATCAGTATATGTAAACAAGGTCAAGTTACTTCACTTGTATCATACTCAATTCTAATCTTCTAGTTTACAGTATTAGGTTGAGGTTGTGAATTACATTGTACTTGACTGATAGTTGGAACGATTTTTTCCCATGACTAATTCCTGACACTGTACTCAACAATAGGTGCTCCTGTCATCATGTCTTCACCACACTTCTACCTAGGAGACCCCAGTTTGGTAGATTCCATCATAGGTATGCACCCAGACCCCGAGCAGCACAAAGTGTACTTTGAAGTGGAACCGGTAGGTGGCGCTATTTTTTTTCTTTCACTTCAAACCTTTCTTTTAAGTGTTCCAGGCTTCCAACCCTAGAAATGGACTTGCAGGGCTTGCAAAATGAAGACATTTTAAAATCATCATTAATGACATGATATTATTACATTGATAGTACAATATCTACATTTACATCTAGATCAGCAGTACCTTAATACAGTATCAATAATGCTAACTGATAGTGATAATACAAGATATTGATTGACAAAAAAAATTGCTCTACACCTTGATTGTTTACTGACATACTTTCTGTCTATTTCTTGTTTTTGATTTCCCAATTCCATGCGATCCTTACACGTAGCTCTCAGGAATTTTGTTGGCTGCGGGAAAGAGACTTCAGGCCAACATCTATGTGAAGAAAATAGATCACATACAGTAAGTGATTGAACAGGGTGATTACCAGTGTGCACTAGTGACATCATGTCACCATGCTGGTCTGTTGAACCTGGAAGAGTCTGTTAAATGTTACTTCTTAAGTTTCTTCAGCAGTTAAGACCTCAGGCTACTTTATTCAAATTATTCAGGTACAGGTACATACAGGTACAGGTCCAGACCTGTACCTACATATACCTGTATCTGATGTTACATTTAGGTATGCAACACTGGTATATACTATAGATTCGTGTACATGAACAAAGTCAGCTTTACTTGCAAAACTCCAGGTTTATCTATCCAGCATGGTGGACAATAGTTATGACATATGTTAGGTAGTCATTTGATGTACCGCTTGTATTTTTTCCAGTTGACAGGGTTTCCTATGAATGTAGCCAAGCGCCTCCAAGTAAATATATACCTCAGGAAAGTAGAACACATTTCGTAAGTGTTGTCTCAAACTGCTTGTCAGTACTCAGGGTCAAAGGAGACAAGCTGCAGCTGCTTTGCAATTTTTACTAAGTCTTGCTGCTGCCGCTGCATTCAACAATGCAAAAAAATACTTAATTTTTTCTTTCTGATTTTGTAAGTACTAAAGTTATCACATATACTAAAGTTTAATATTTTGTAAATAGAAAAGTTCTCATAAATACTCTACTACTGTGCATACTACTTCAGTTGAACTACTCAAAGTTGGACTATACCTACTACTACTTGTAACCAATTGCATTGCACTATTTTGTAACTTTTAAACCTAACATTTAAAACCACTAATCCAAACAGCTTTCACTGTGTTAAAAACTTTCACTATGTTGCACCATTATTAACTTTGTGCTATATATATATATATATACCATTACTGTATTATTATGTTGTAATCTTTGATAACGAAGTGTAGGTAACTTCAATCTTTGGAGGCAACAATATTGTATTTAAAGCCCTTTCATTCCACTTCCAGGCAAACTGGTAATGTCAGGGAGATGTTCTATCCTATACTGTGGCTTAATGAGGTTGGTTACTCCTTCAACACAACTCGATCTAAATGAAACAGACATACACAAATGTACCTATTAGATTAGAAGGTATAAACTGTTATGTTATTACAGATATTTGCCTTTGGTACTTGTGCACAGTAGACAGTGTGTTAGGACCAGTAAATAGTTTACATACTAGTAGTACTACTGTTACAGACTAATGTAATTCTGGTATGTTTCCCAAATCTCTATCTGTGCCACCCAACGAAAACTGCACATTGTACTTACTTACACATTTGTTTTTTTGTTTGACAGAGTACGTTTATAGACCCAGTCAATGCTGACAAGTTCAAGTCTCAAGTTACAAACAACATCAAGCTGATGTATGGAGTTGAGTATGGGATGATAGCCGTGGGCTGTGTGCTGCTGATCATGTTCATCATCCTCTTTGCTAGGCTCAGGAGGAGGGTAAGTTGGTAAAGGATCTTTTTGATAGTCAAGAGGTAGACTATCCCTTGGACTGAAAAGTCATCCCCCCAAAAATACTGTTTGTTGCTTTGTCTGGATTCCAAATTAGAAAGTCAAAACAGGTGAAATAGTTTATAGTTTCTATAAACACTTTAAAAACCCACGTTTTTAAAGTGTTATATATGACAAAACTCCCCATGGCCTCCTCTTCTTTAGGTGTTTCTCCTGCCTGATGAGTTGGTTGAAGAGAGGAGCTTTACCTTTAGCTAAGATACTGACTATGAACATGTTAACTGTCATCAACTCCTACCTGTGAATCTTGGAAATGTCATGATTTATCTTGTCTCTCTATCCTTACAGCAGTCCAGCACCGTGCTTGGAACCTCGGATGAGAGAACAAGTCTTCTGAATGGAGACACTGTACAGTAAAGACTGTAGAACTACTGTATGAGATGATATTGTAGCCTGCCAACAGTATAATCACAGTTTAAATGGGGCTGAATATTGCCAGGATTTTCATAAAGACAGTGTCTGCATCTGTTGAAATTTAAAGTGCTGATAAGATCAGGTGAAAAATGTTCCATCATTCAGCAAGCCTTTGTTGCAGGTGAATGGCGTAACTCATCATCTAGATACTGTATTTTTGGTACATAATTTTCTACAATTTTTACGACCATTTTTAACGCTGGTATTCAAAGGTACTCAAAGGATGAACTATCATGCAACAATCAGAACAAAACAAGGTATATGCAAACCAGGCTCTTTCACTTTAACATGACGATATTGGTCAAAAGTAATGACAAACAATTCTTCTTGTTGACACAAGCATCAAAATATGCTTTGTGTTTTTTCATGTCTAGCCCAATTAATTCTGAATATACTAGTATTATAGATCTGTAACATGTCATTGTTGTGAGTAGAAAACTTTGCTGTACCTGGTAGAGCTGAGGTCAAATGCTGCTGCTAATCCCTTATTCTATTCATAGTTTATTTGCCAGAAGTGATTTGTCTGATAACTAATTAATGGATGAGAATTATGGTTAGCTGCATTTTGTGTTGTGAAACTGGAGAATGCAGTGAAAAGCGATTTTGCCTTTTTGCCACTGGATGGTTGTATGAAAAATATTTTGGAGCCTGATTAGTTTTGTTTTTAAGACTGTATATGTGTACTATTGTGCCATGAAATTTGACTGTTATGCATTTGAAATCAGCATAAAGGTCATCAGTATCCCTGGGACTGACCAATGTGATATTAGTACAACTTGTTCAAGCCTTACAATGCATTGAGAATATTGAATTCATGTGTCTTTAGCATGTGATAAGAAATATGAGCCATCTTTGGTCCTCTTTAGCTAAGATCGCACAGAACGTTGTTCTAATAAGTGCCTTATGATTATGAATGAACGTTTGTTTGAATGACTTATATTTCAATAATTTCTGGGCCACTGCATGGGTAGGTTCAGAATGACAGCTGAAACATATCATAGTATTATCAATGGCCTTAGCTATAAAATAGCTACATGTAGCTCTTACAGGACATCAACATATTGCAAATAACGTTACATGACATAGGATTTCCAAACCTCCTTGTGAAGGTTGAGTTTATCATCTTCCTGCCATGCTTGTTTTTGCCACCAACTTTTTTACTAGTTATAGTGTTAAGTATCAGTGAAAATGTTCAATTTTAGCAGTATTTAGTAACATATCAACGCATATTGATGTTAGAGTATTGAAGGTTGATTTGATCAAGTCTAAAATATGAAGGATGTTAATTGACAAAAGTCAAGCATTTGTAACAATACTAAAGTGCAATTAAATCATATTACAAGCAAAATGTTATCATCTTTATTTGTAGAGTGTGAGTTGAGGCCACAGTCGACTCTTATTTCTTGATAGATGCATGTATTTATGTATTTGAAGACTAAGGGTAAGAGTTCTGCAATGCTTTGAGACAACAGACAGCTGGTGTGTTACGCCGAAAGGCGGTTATACCGGCTATACAGATACAGATACAGAACAGGTCAAGAAAAACCATTGACTGTTGCCAGTCATAAACAAGAAAATAATATGTACAGATGACAGATTTCACCTCTCACACTTTGAAACTGGATGGTCTGGAGGGAGGATGGTCTGACATACAATCCTCATTAAGGAATGTATCAATACACCGACATCCATGACTCCAATATCCCAATATAGAAAATTGAACCCTTTTTTCACTCAATGTCATCAATGTGATGGCCTGCTGTCAAACCACTATGAATGCCCTCTCCTTCTCACAGTAAAAATGACCTGGCTGTGTGATGAGTTCAGTTTCTCTTCAGTCCTCCTCCTGGCACCTAAAACAGTCGCTGGCTACTTTCCACACGTTGCCCTGATTGGTCAGTGTAAAGTTCTGTGTGAACCTCATGGTGTTGTTCCCCTCAAACTTGACCGTTCCGCTTGTGGTCACCAGTACAGTGGCCTGGCCTTGGGTGGCTTCATCTGTGGGTAAAATTTAGAGTTCATAGCTTTGAACCATGACAACGCTTTGATAAGTTTTAACCTGGGTTTTTGTTTCGCCATTCCAGTTTGTTGAGTTTTTTTTTTTTTTTTTCAGAATAGTAGCGTAAAAAATATGAATGGAACCCAGGCTAGATAAGTTTACGTATACATTTTGTAATTCCAATTTCTAAGAGTTGGGATGACTGACAACAATAATACAACAATACATGGATTATAGCATATTTGTAATAACTACAATGGCAAGTCTCGTGTATCATTACATGCATACACAAAACTGTATTTTAAACCTCATTAAATCATTAAACCTCATTAAGTCATTAAATCTGTGAGGTGAACTGGTCAACTACCTAACCCTTGTTCACCCACTCCTCTGAGTAAGCCCTTCCTCAGCTTCCTGCTACATACACTGTGGTGGTATGCCTCTGAAAGCCACTGGAGTTGAGCCTTAAAGTTTAAGGTTTGCAGGCCAAAGTAGACTGAAGTTGAAGCCACACGGTACTCTGGCCGTGAGTCTTGGAGTTCCATTACTAGTACTGGTATATACAGATCCTACCTGGCAGTGGTTGACAGTCCAGTGTGATGAGTGTGTGTTCACTGTGAGGTAAGTTACCTGGCAGTGGTTGACAGTCCAGTGTGATGAGTGTGTGTTCACTGTGAGGTAAGTTACCTGGCAGTGGCTGACAGTCCAGTGTGATGAGTGTGTGTTCACTGTGAGGTAAGTTACCTGGCAGTGGTTGACAGTCCAGTGTGATGAGTGTGTGTTCACTGTGAGGTAAGTTACCTGGCAGTGGTTGACAGTCCAGTGTGATGAGTGTGTGTTCACTGTGAGGTAGGTTATCGTGGAACTTGGTGATCTCCTGAGGTCCCTTCACTACGTTGCCATTCCACACGACGTTAGCTGTGTCCAGGTACAGCTTGTTCAAAACCTGCAAAATCAGAAACTGGTATTAGAAATCTTGAAAAAGTAATGACTATTTGAACACCACGTAACGTTACATTCCTAATACATGTAGTAAGAATGATAGGTTAATTTCAGAATTCCAGGCTGATTCCAGAGGAAATAATAATGTTAAAACATCTAGAAAGAACAGCATGAAAATTGCAAAAAATACACATGTACAAAACATAACCTGTTGAGAATTTTTTACCAGTGAACAAATAATTTATGTTGAACCTTTTGTTTAGATTTTAATTTAAGTATCCCATGACGTGTCTCTCAACTTACATGTCTTCTCTTGTCAAAGGTCTCGTAGAAAACTTTGGAAAACTCCTCTCCGGCCCGACAGGCGTTGTCTATATTAGTCTTGAAGTCCTGGAAGCGACAAAAAATTTTCACTCAAACTTGCAAACTGTTGGGGAGGGGGGCGCATAAAATATGTTGGTGGTTTGGAAAAGAATTCGAGACCAAATAGAAGTAAAAATGCATTGGCTACCTTCTATCAGACACAAGTCAATCGGAAATAATGTTAGAATTTTTCAAAAGAGCACGTTCACTACTTTTTTACACCGATTTCTACTTTATGCAAGCAAAACTCACGTTTACTGCCGCCATGATGATGATGATTCTGATGACCTGTGGTAACCCCAGCAGCAGCGCACCTAACGATTAACTACAGTACTGCAGGCGCAAGATAATCATTTCTTGAATAACATTTTACAAATTACAGGAACGAAGTATCTATAGTGGTACTAAAGATTTAAAAGCTGCGTATTTAAGTCATAAGATTTGGCCAAACTGTGAAAAATGTCAGGAATTGCATTGTAAATTGACCCAATTTGTAATAAATTCATCGTTTCTACCAAATGCTGCCTCAGAAACATAGTGTACATTACGCCAAAAAGCAGTTACTCAAGCAACTGGATATGATTTTGAAAACGTCAGACGTTTCAGCTAGTATCCACTAGCTTTCGTCAGTGACTGAGAGACCAGAGGGGAAAACAGGTTTATAAGCACAACCTCTTGATTGATATGCATAACGTCTGACGTTTTCAAAATCATATCCAGTTGCTTGAGTAACTGCTTTTTGGCGTATCGTATTACCTGGATATCTAACCTTCATCGACGTATAGTGTACATTGTACATATAGTTGAGTCATATATAGATCCAGTTACTTTTTCATCTCCTCACAATACCAATACCAACATATCCAAACCACCCTGTGTGCTTTCTTATCCGTAAAATTTTCAGTTTACTTTCAACAAGAGGGTTAACAAAAACGCCACAATACTAGTAAGTTATCGCAACATTACATTTTATTCTGAAAATTGTACACAAGATAGAAGTGAGAAACCTTGCCTTGAGAAACTAGATAATGCAAATACATAAATGTATTTACTAGTATAATTACAAGGCACTCAGTGTAGCATTGGGTTATAGCAAACAAAACAGCTAAGCAGTTTTTCACAAAAATGTCCACACAAATGTTCCTATTTTTCTCCACAGAATTTTTCCTCCACTATATGTGTAAGCATATGACATTACACATTATTTTTTTTTAATTCATCATCAACATTACAATACTATGAGCCTAGCTTGTCTTCAGCATTTTCACTACACTGAAAACACAACAAAAGAAGTATTTTACCTGACAATTACACATGCATAGGCAATAAAATCCCTCTTTGTTATTCAAACAGTATCTTCAATTATTAACATTATCTGCATTCATAACTTATCTAAGGAAAATAGTTCCAGATACTAGTACTACATTCCAGCAATATCCTCATGTGGTCAAAAAAGAAATCATTCAACTTTCTTTGCAGAAAAAATGATGAATCACTTCATCTTTAAAAAAAATTATCACTCAAGCTCAACTCATGCACTGTGAAATATGACAGAATGTCAAAACAAACAGATTGTCACTTGCCTTATTTTACATCTTTTTTTCAGTTTTGAAAAACTTGTCAATTTAGCCCTTGAATAGTATACTCAAATGAATCTTTGCACAAATTACCTGTTCATTTTGCAATGGTATTTTTGCATATTACAAAATGTCCACAATTAGTCCCCTTTTATTTATTTCTTTTTGAAATGATGGTATGAGACATAACATACCATCCTTTTTCTCAGTTGATTTCAATGAAGAAGCCTTCTTACGTAGCAGTATCTTCAATTAACAAATAAATCATACAACTAATATTATATCAGTGATGCTGGTTTACATGACAGTTTCCTAGAAGGATGTCGTGAAGGCTTTGGAGAGTCCATATAAGTTATAATGCAATGAGTTTGTTCAGAGAAGTCATCTATCTGTAGGAGTTCGCCTTGTGTTTGGGAAGGAAGTTGAAGTTGGCCGGAGCAGGTCCCAGCAGCATCTCACTGATCCTGACCCAGTCTGCACAGTTGCCGCTGGCCATGAGGGTCTCCAGGTCGTCCCTGCCCAGAAAGTACGGGGGGCGGAGGTTGATCTTCTGTGGCGGCTGCTCCAGCACGCCGACTGGTACGTACCGGAACAGGAACGACAGCCACTCTAACATGAACCGCCTGGTCTTCTCCACACCCTGGGTATCTGAACCCCAGTGTTCCAGCCCGAAGTTAGAGAAGTCCTTCAGAATCTGGAACCTCTCATGTGAGGAGATGTCCCAGTGGTGCTGCTCCTTAATCTCTGTGAAGATCCAGGGTTTGATCAAGGCACCTCGTGCGATCATGAGTCCAGCCACTCCTGTACTCTGCCTGTGTCTGTTGGCATCCTCGAATGACAGGATGTCGCCATTCCCGAACAGAGGCATCGGACTGGCCGCCTTGGCACACTCCGCGATGTAGTCCCAGTCTGCCAGCTTGGTGTAGCGCTGCTCCCGCGAGCGCCCGTGCAGTGTGACGAGGGAGACACCCCAGTCCCGGAGATGAGGAACAACTCTGTAGGCAAAAGGCTTCTCTTCGTAGATTCCCGTCCGCATCTTGACAGTCAACGGTACGTCGAGCATCCCGATCATCCCCTTCACGACTTGCTCAAACTTGGTCAATCTGCCCATCAAGGCACATCCTCCGCCCCGTTTGAACACAAGATCAATCGGACAACCAACGTTTACGTCTACAAAATCCACGCTGATGGTCTCATTCAAGAGTTCAGCGGCGTGGGACATGACCTCAGGGTGGCTGCCACAGATCTGGACGCCGAACACGTCCTCAGACTGGTGACGTTTGAGCAGTGCCCACTCGGATGACTGCCCCTGCAGCAGGTTAGCAGCCATGGCCATCTCTCCACACGTGATGTCTGCCCCCAGGCCCTTGCAGATCCGGCGGAAGGGCAGATTTCCGACCGTGGTTAGTGGTGCGAGGTATAATTTGTCTGCGAAGTCCAACTTCTTCCTTTCTCTGGGAATCAGCCTGATAGAATCTTCATTCGTGACAGACCCTGAGGGCTTGTTGGTCTCCATCGGTGTAGGATTTTCCACTGTAGCCTCTGTGCATCCTTGTATATCTGGTGTTGAGAGATCATTTCCATTTCTACAGTTACTAACTTTATCTTGTGCATTACCCGATGCCTCACTGGCTGTGCTATGAATTGTTATTTCAGGTTTGACTTCTTCAGCTTCACTACTCTTCTTGTCTAAGAAACTGTTGTCATCACCACTACCTTGTGCGGTTGAAAGCTTGCCTATAGCCCTGAGATACTCGTTACTTTTGGGAAACTTGTACTGTTTCTTCCTCAAGCTTGTCTGTGTGTCCTTGGGAAGCTGATTACTTGTTGTTGGCTTTGCTTCCGGAGAGTAGACGTCGGGGTTCACAACATTCTGGTTTTGGTCGTCTGTGTGGCACTTGGCGAAACGGCAGGTGATGCCAAAGGGACATCTGCCGTGGGTGTCGTACACGTAACACTTATCCCCCAAGTCTGCAGGCTTGTTGGCCAGGTATTCCTCAACGCTGTGGGTGAAGCGACACTTTTCACCAAACTGACAGGAGTCTGGATCTTTCAGGAAGCTCGGACACAAGCGCACCACATCGCACAGCTCCGAGGGTTTCTGGTGAGGTCTGCGCTTGTTCTGGCCTTTGGCTTTCTTCCATTTGCCCTTCTTGTTTGGTGGCTCTGGTGGAAAAGAAAAAATTAAACATGCATGAGAAAAATTAAACATGCATTCTAGTACTGAAGTAGTATGACAGGAGACATACAGAGGAAGTTTAAAATGCATCACTTCTGTTAATGAAAGAGGAATATATAGCTATGATAGTATTACATAACATCTTTATAATTGTGTCTGGAAGAATTGAAATGTTTGCCCTATGCTACTCATCACTAGTACAGGATCAGCTAGAGTACATGTACATACCAATGTGTACCCACATCCTTTTAAAAACTATTAGTCACCACATATATTTAATTTTTATAGGACTGTAGTAGTCTGATTTTACCCCCTTTCCTTTCCTGTGTGGTACATTTTAACTTTGCCAAACTTAGTTTCTTATGATTCATGACATATACAAAGACTACACACCTGTCTCACCTTGTGGAGACGTGTCGTCACTGCCAGTACTCCCCTGACTGACTCCCTCTGTGGAAGGCTGGCTGTGATGTGTCTTCAGAAGTTTGTTCCAGTCAAGAAACTCCTTCTTGATCCTTAAGACGCCTGGTGCGTTCAAGATGCTCTCTGCCGACTCCTTGGGGTCTTGTGGCATTTCTTTAGCTACCATTGGAGGTTCTGCTCCGCTCTCCGGCTCCATCTTACACAAGGCTCCTTTGGTCGAAGTCCAAAATTAGAAAAGCATGTTCCCGGATACCGGTGATGGGGGAGGGGGGCGTTGTGCGTTTTAGTCACAGCAAGGCAGCGAATTCCGCCTTCACAAAGATTACTTACCAGCTAACGCAATAAGTCTGTACCTACGGTATTCACTTACTTCAAATTTACGTCTTTTATCCTGTTATTAATTTGTATACAGGCCAAGAAGACTACCACGTGGTGCGACGTCGTGCAAGCCACCGATCGGCGTAGCTGTGGTCTCACACTGGAGTTTCGTCATCTCCAAGCAGATATGGGGTCCGGCCCTGTGCTGACGTAGCCTCCAGCTAGCTTCGTGGCATTCTGACAGCTAGCAGTTTTCTAGCACTGCAACCTAGTCTCAGTATTACATGATAATTGACGGAGGCAATGCAATCTTTACAATTATGTTTATTTGTTTGTTTGTTCATTTATTTATTCATTTGAACATTTATTTATAAATCAGAAGCTCAAATCACCCTGCAGGCCACTTTTCATTGAGGTAATGATGGAGGAGGTGAAGGTCAGACAACATATAATGAGGATACAGATAACATGAGTGAAACTTCAAGTAACGTTACATGTATTTTGATTTTTTTTAATTACACAATAAATAATTACAAATGCAAGTAACGTTACAGTAAACCTATTTGACCCTGAAGTCAGCAAGACGACAGTATTCGATATGTTATATGTGTGATCAAGGTCTCTGTATAATGTCCTTGGTGTGATATAGAAACTTATGTCAAATTGATATGCAATACAAGTATATCAATACAACTTCTATAAACATAATCGTATCAATTGAAACATTTTGTTTTTCTTCGTACAACAATCTAAAGCACTGTATCTCTTTATGACACATCTACATGACTTGGCCTCTGAACATGAAGACTTTTTCACCGCTCATTCAATTTTGTCAACTCAGAAATATCTAAACTGGTTAGAAACCAGTACAGTAGAATCAATAACGAGATTTGACAACTCTGGAGGAAGACGTTTTGGCAGCTACTTCATCCATAGCTTTAGCAGCGAGGGAGGCCGCCTGTAATGCACATCCCCAATGGTAGGTGACTCCGTAACCACCGTGCCCATAGTTGTGGATGACGGGGGTGTCGTTCACTGTTTCCCGCTCAATCCTTATCCGCTCTCTCACAGGACGCAGGCCCGTCCACTTGCCGAGAACCCGAGCTCCCTACAGTCAAGATACAAAAAGATGACTTCTGTTTACATTTGAATTTGTTTAGGAAGGTAAGCATGACTCTAACTTGACAGCAGCATTGCCGTAACATAAACATTACACAACCTGACAAAGCTGCCACACAACTGTAAGTTAAGCCTGATCAGTGTAAACATGTTCAAGAATGAGTAATTTTTAGACAGAAAATCGAAAATGTGTTGAGGAAAACGTCCAGTCAACCCACCTTTAGCGAAGGTATCAGTTGAACAGCACCATGCCATATATTCTTCTCATCCTCTTCCCTCCATCCAGTATCCCAGTCACCTATCTGGTTTAGGCCACCCAATGCCACTGTATTTATCCTATACCAACAATTAAAATTGTAACGTTAATGATTTTTAATAATTGTTGCCTCAAAACTTCTGATGGATTTACAAGAAACTTATCCAACACTTATCTCAAAACAAGTCATAATTGCCTGACAATCATAATTAATCTGGTTGGATGATAATAAATAATGAAAAAGCAAATTTGACATTTTTTCTCTGAGGAAAACTTACCCAGGAATGATGTAGGGAGTGTTGTAGGTTGCTGTGCCCATGTCATGAGTGAGGATGAAGTGTTTGACCCAAGGGGCATGAACCTGTTCAGGGCAACACCAAATGACAGAAATAATGAGACCCACTCTTTACAATACTCAAATACACAAATGGACAAGCTCAAAGGAAAGGTTACTGGTAAAAGAAAAACGAATCTCAGAATGACTGACAATTGTTATTAACAAGACTGTTGCCTACTCTAACTATCTGGCCCCGCCCAGGTTGGACTTCCTGGTCGTTCACCAGTGTTCTAGCCGACAATCCAGAGCAGTTTATGACAACATCGTAATCTCTGCAGACCTGCACAGGGAATCAGAAAATTAAACATGCGTACATGCCTTCTGTACACTTCAAGCTTTTCCAACGAATATTTCTTGTAAATATATTAGTTATGCTTCATATACAACTGTTAAGCCATAGTCAAGACAAATCATAAAAAGTTGCATACATCATTCGAAACTTCCACTCATGATACAAGCCATTTGGTAAAAATTCATTAGCAGCTTCTAAATGACATAAAGACTGTCACTAACCTCCGAAAGACTAGCGATCATTCTCTGTTCAAACTTGATTCCTTTCTCCTTCAGCCTGTGAAGGATCATCACAAAAGAGGAATTGAAAAACTCACTTTCAGAAGCGAAGAACTATATAGACATAGATGACAAGTTGTGAATGTTATCATATTTTGATTAGAAATCTTAAACAACGCCATACCTTTGAGTCAGCCACGGCAAGTACGACTTGCATTCCAACATCAGAGTAGTTTCAAACCATCCATAGCTGTAACACCAAGGAAGAACGTCAGCAATTCTTCAATATCAGCGAGACAACTTAATAAATGTTTAAAAGAATTTATACTGTGTAATGTAGACAAAAACATTTAATGAAACATAACATACAACGCACGATTTCGCGACTCTCAACAGAAGGGGAAGTACACTTTCGATACACTTGGCATGCATCCAATGCGTGTTTTAAATCTTTCATAGCTGCGGAGTCCTGAAAAAATACCTGTATCCTGGAAACCTCTTGAGTTCTTCTTCCGTCAGATGTCTGAAGCCCAGCACGATGTCTTTCCAAGGGGGGTCCTGGAACAGGTTACAACTCGTATGTCAGGACAAAATGGATTAGTTCGATGTTTTAAAGAGTTGCACATACATTTGGCCCAGTTTATTCTATATTACAGGTAAACAAATACTGCAACAAAATACAGCATATCGTCAGACGTGATTTTATTACCGGTACTTCCTCTGTGAACACATTGTATCCTGACTGGCAGAACAGGCCGATCTGGTGTGAGAATTCAGTCTTGTACAGTCGGGACAGGTAGTCAAACGTCCACTGCAGCCACGGTCTGAAACACACGCACGGAGAAAGTTCTGCTTAATTCGTTCTGGTAGATCGAGTTAACTGCAATGTTGCAAGTTGAATGTAACATTTTCGCAAAATGTATCAATAAGCTACTCTAGTGCAAAGTTTTTTAACGATTCACTAGACCGACATTCTATATTCAATTGATTATTGGGGGAAGAAGATTACAGTCACTGTAGTGAATATCTGCTTCTATGGGCATTTACCCTGTAGGCTGCAATTTACTCACTCAAGCGAATGGTTCAAAAGTTCACTGGGTCGGATACACTGAGTGACGTTACATTGTCGGGCGATTGACCCGACAGTTAACGTTAGGTATCTTATCTATAGTCTCTACTAACAAAGCAAGCAGTAAACACTGACAGTTCTTGTTGCGTGACGTTCCAGAGCGGAGGTTGCCAGATTCCGGCGGCCCCGTCCCCTGTCGTGTTGGGAGTAAACTCGCCCGCTACCACCGTCAGCTCCGCCTGCGGACACCGCTCCTTCACACACAGCGCAGACGACAGCCCGATCACCCCGCCTCCAACAACAGCCACCTTCATCGTCACAACTACAGACGTTCTGAAATGTTGAATGATCGTAGTCTATTAAAAGACTTCCCCGCTCACATATGCTGGAGCACGCCGATGCCTTGCGGCTCGGACCCTACCCGTGTGAAAGTGGGACAGGTCACCTGTCAAAGGTCAGCGTTGTTTACACAAATATTCAGGAGCAGATGTGGGGTGCGCATACATAGTGAAAGTTACGCTCCAAGATCATGTGAATGGCACTCGGAGGTCGAAAAAAAGACGTTTTCAGAATAGTTCTTCAAGTTCGGACCGTCGGAAATAATGAATAGACTTGTAGAATCCGTAAATAATTTCATCAGGTTGGTGAATGAATGAATAGCAAAGTTCTCTATTCACAACCACCTGTTAAAAAGAGATTGTCTGTAAAGAAATTTGCTAAGCTATTGTAGAATCGTACATGACAATTGATGTTACGACATAAGAACTGATGACATTAGCCGATCAAGGTAAGAAAAAGTACAAGGCAGCAGTTTTGCGTACTAGTATCAGAAATATCTAACGATACTACGTCGTACAAGATTCATACAAGATTCACTTGAGGCATGGAGTTAACCTCCTTGCTTGAGGTAACAGACTGTTGTTGTGGCATTGGCAATACATGTAGTATGTTATAGGTACACCCATTAGTCGTGATAATTACGATACGAAGCCCTGTGTTGGTTGGATTGTGTACGTTAGCTCTGGTCACTAGCTATCAAATATTGCATCACTCACCAAGCTTGTCAGCAGAAATACGCCAGGTCCCGCACAGGCAAAACTTAGGTCACAGCAATTAGCTATTAAAGGCCTGTAGTCAGTCTATTGGAAATTCCGTGTAGATCACTGTTTGCTCTCCGAATTTTGGAAGACTGAGACAGGAAGTTCTAACGTTACGCTTGCTAGCGCGAGACAATATTCTCTGAAACATCCGCTTTTGGCAGCTGACCAAGCCTTTCTGAACCGGTTGGTACCAGATACAAGGTGGGGATTTTATTTCGTCACGAAACTAGTAGAAATCCCCATGACAGGCCTGCCCACGACATATATAACTGATGTCGTCATTGTTTGTAGGCTTGCAATTACCCTGTCAATCATTGACAGCCCCGCCCCTTAACACCGGACGACCCCATGACGTGTTTGATGTGCATGGTTGACCCCTTACTTTACAAAATAAATACTTCCGGCGACAACTGAAAGTTTGGGCCCTAAGGGGAAATGATATGTATTGAGAACATTATATCGACACCGTCGTGGGAAAGTGTGACGTTTTGTTTTGTAGTATGTTGGCAGAAAATTCAATTTCATTTGGCGTGGAGTCAATTGTTCTCAAACTTTGTCTTCAGATAAAAGATTTAAGTAAATGTATTAATGTGTTATGGAACACCAGGTAACCAAATTATGGCCACCAAATGACAGTCTTCCATGAAGAGAATGCAAACAGTCATGCACGTGCAATCGGAGGTTAGTCGACTTAAATGCACTTTATTGTCAAAAGAAGAGCGCCTTCACAACATGTTTACATAAATACGGTGCAGCAAAGTCAGAATGCACATTTGTTTGTTCGTTTTATGGTTTGTTCGTCCGTTATCTGTTTCTTCGTTACTCGCTGTTCTCAAAGCGAGCAAAGTTTGAACTTGTTCTAAAATACAACACATTCACTTGTACATTTGTGTCTTGGCCATGTTGATAGAATTATTGAACCATTACATGTTTTACGTGCTACATGTGCTCTCGAAATAATTCAAACAACATCTAGGAAAACGCTGGCATCATGGATTGTAGTTATTAACCATTGGTATCTTTGGGGTCTCAGAAGTGAATCATACATAAAGCATCAGTCTCATATAGAAATGGTTGGCACTAGCTAGTTGGCAGGATGGATATCATAGATAGAACACACACAAAATCAACACCACCCATCACCTCATTTGTCTCTATGTTATAGAAATATATACATATGTGCAACATATATTGTGAAGATACAAATGTACTTATGTGCAAGTGGTCAAATATTACTTTGATTGTGACTCAATATATTATCATATGACATATCTATTGCAACTTTTGCATGAAGGGGAACAAGTGCACTTTAATATTGCTCGGTCATCTATTTGCAGTTCTTGTTGAAATAGCATCTCACGAAACATATCATCTTTTAAAAAATCTGGAGTATTTTTGTTTCTCCATTCTTGGTTTCTTCCTGTCCTTTGTCCGTACGTCGGCGACCAGTTTCCCACGTTCCCTTTTCGGCCGCTCCAGTCCTTTCGAAAACTTCTCTCAATGCTTCGTTTATACGTTTACATGTTTACTGTTAGTGTTCTCTAAACGTCACTGCGGCGGATGAGCGCGTTTTAGCTCAGATCACTAGGTTCATTGTTTGGACGCTCTGAGCTTTTGCTTTCAACAGAATCCATTATCTGCTTGGCTAAGCTAATATAGTAACCGCCTTCGTGCCAGGGCTGACCGATACCCTTTCGGCAGTGTTCGGCGAGTGTTCCGTCATGTTCCGCAACAGTTCGGCAATGTTCGGCAGATGTAGACACCTTTGCATCGAGTGCCTCTAGAGCTATGCACAGAGACTGTACCGTGGCGTTGCTTCCTGTGACCTGCTTCCATTTCCTAAGCATTTGGTACTTGATTTCCCTCGCATCCCGATCGCAGGAGTAGCACACCTCTTCGTACTGCACCTCTGTGAGGCCTAACTTGACGGCCAGCCGCCGGATGTCTTCCACCAGTAGTTTATCCACCAACATATCCGTGACGTCTTCCATCACACCGTCTTTCGGGTCTGTAAATAGCAGGGGTGTGACTATGAATCTTCTGTCCATAACTTTGCATAACCTAATTAGCTTGGCACAAAATCGCCACAATTACCTAACATTACTATAATTTAGGCCACCTCTTAATTAGGATTGAATATTTTAATAACACACAATAAGACAGAAAAAATGGACTAGCTTCACTCTGGAACCTCTGAAATTACATACAGAAAACCCTGGTCATGTATAAGGCCAGGGTGAATCTGTAAGTTGTGGACGCTGGATATATACAATTATACGATTGCTTACCATCTAGAAGAGTCCTCTTCGCGACTGGTTGATGGCTGAAGGGCCCCTCCCCGATGGAGGTGAGTGCTTGAACTGCGATGCTGTACTCTTTGGCCAGCTCGAGGTTCTGTAGCACGGCGTGGGTGTTTTCTGTAAACACCAGGCTGTACGCTCCGGTGTCGTTCTTCCCTCGGTACCGCACATTGTAGCCGCGGATTGCGCCGTTGCACTGGTCTTTCGGTGGTTCTTTCCAGAAGACCTTAATCTCGCGGGTAGAGCGTGCGAATGCAGTCACATCTACTGGTGGTGCGTCGGGAACTGCAATGTGAAAGGTATGTAACGATGATTTATCTATAGAAAGTGTGGTAGATTCAGTCATGGTTGCAATAGACTGCAGCTCCTGTAGGTAAAACATGGTTAATCTTTCTTTATTCAAGTCTTGGTGTCGTTTGAAATCTAAATGTTCTCTGTGTTCCTCGTAACATCTGTATGGAAAGAAAGTCCTTGAATCATTCAATACGCAATATTAAATCGCACGCACGCACACACACACAGTCATATACAAACTGGAATACGCATACACTCGTACAAACAGTCCCACACAGAGTCAGACACAGACTACACGCACGCACACACACACAAACACACACACAAACAAACACACACACACACACAAACACATCCACACAAACGCACTCTCATACACATTGATCACATTACCATCTTCCATGGTGAAGATGTCGATTGGGTCGCTCTCTTTGCCCACGCCGCCCGCGGTGAACCCAGCCACCGTCACCGTGTACTTAGTCGACTTGCTCAGGCCTCTCAGCGTCACCGTGTGCTGCCCGTCCTTCATTGGTACCTCCTTTGCCTCTCTCCCGTCTCCCTTGTACTTCACGATGTAGCCGAGGATGACTCCTGGCCTCAGGTGGACAGGGATGCCTCCAACGCTCACCTCCACCTCTGTCGATGATGCCGGCTTGACGACTACGTCCGTTGGCGCAACAGTTGGAACTGTATGTAACACAAATGGCGGAGTGGTAAAGATACTGACCTTTCTCTTGTGCATGTATTTCAAGATTAAAAGCAGCAGGCCTAAGTAACCTATATTGATATGATATAATTTCTGGTTAAACATACCTGCTTTTGGAGGGTAAACCAGTTTGGCCATCAGAGTAGGAGCGGCTCTGCCGGAGTGATGTCGTGGTCTCGGACACGGTAACTTCGCTGGCTTGTCGGGTCTCTCCTCCCAAAGCAGGTCGCCTCTGAAGTAGCCGAGAACCTTGAGACCCGCTTTGGTACAATGCGGGCATGGGATGCTGCACGTCCAACAAGACCGAGACCATTCCTTTAGCAGGAGCTTTGTTTTCTCTACCATTGGTATGATGGCGTACAGCCACATGTCGTCAACCCTGTCCGACTCCGCGCGTACGCGTCCTGATATCATGATCTTCACGCCGCCTTCCACCGTTTTTCGACGGACCAAGACCGGCTGTTCTCCCATGTAAGACAGGGCGCCGTCTGACCAGTCGTTTCCTGGGCACAGTTGAGGAGGCAGCTGCGCACACAGTCTTTCAAACAGACCCGTGGGTTCCTTCCCGTCGATTCTGAACTCTACACCGATCTGTTCCATTCCGTTCGGCACTCGTGACGGCCAACATTGCTTCACGTACGAAGGCGTGCCCTGCGACTTCGGCAAGAACCAAGGGAACCTGTAATACGTGTCCCCCGGCGTTAGAAAGGCGGTTCCAGGGGTGCCCCTGGGCATTGGTGGCACGACATGAGTGATGCCGAATGTCTCTAGCACCTTAATGGTGGTCTCGAAGTCATCTGACGTTCTTCTGTTCTTACTGAAATGCTTGTGAAGGACGTCCTTCGGCAGAATTGCACGGCAGATGAAATTCTTCTCCACGAGACCAAAATCCTCCGCGGACATTTGCGAGTTCTGTCTTAAGGCGCCAAGGAGGCGGTCTCGATCGTGGTCAAAAATCAGCTTGAGCAGGGTGATCAGCTGAGTAGGGTCAGGGAACACAACGTTCCGGAGGATGTCGCCCTTGTAGTGTAGGACGGAGCCGGTTTTATGAAGGTACTCCATCACAGCTTCCAGACCAGTCGAATCTAGATCAAGCTTGGACCCGAGGTGCACACACTCCTCCCACGAGAGGGTGATATTTGTGGACTTCTCCCCTTCTGACCTGAGCAACTTCTCCATGTTGATCCATGATCTGGGCAGGATACAGTGAGCGCTGGGGAACATGTCCTTGTCGACCGAGATTTTGAACACGTCTGCTTTTAAGTCGCTGATGCCGGTCAGGTCTTTATTTGAGCTGACTACTGCTATCTCACCATCCTTTACGAGCCTCAGGCCACTCTCCAATTTACACTGTAGCCTTTCTGCCTTTCGCTGTAGTTGTTCGAGTTTCCGGTTGGCATGCCCGCTCCCAGTGTTCTCCACCTCCTCTCTTGCTTTGTCAATCTGCTTTTCTACCTCCTCAATCTGCAGGTGCATGTGCTTCCTTCTTTCTTCGATGAACGTCGCCACACGAGCCTTGATGTCCCGTGTCTTCTCTTCTATCTGTTTTGCTGTTAGCCTATCAGCGTGGGTGCCTACTAGATAAACGACTGCATTGACGACGCGAGAGTCGACACTCTCCAACCAGAACTTCACCGCTTTGTTGAACGCACTCTTTTGCCTGCGGTAGGTTTTGAGATTTACCACCAACAGGTGAAGAGATCCTTCGCTCAGGAAAAACTGGTGGGTCAGTCTGTACACATCGTGGCCTCCGAAGTCACACGCCCGGATCTCTAGACTTTCGCCGTCTATCTCAGAACACCACGAGTCTATGTTCATACACTGTGTGCGATCCTTCTCCTCAGTCAGATGGGATTCGTCCGTTTGGAGAGCATTCTTCAGGCTTGTCTTTCCAGCGAAGGATTCTCCGAGCAGCACAACTTTCCGGTGCACGGTGGAAACTGGCTCTGACTTTGCCAGCTCTTCTTGGTAGGTCTTGATTCTCCCGACACCTTGCAGACAGACATCCAGTGGCGGCTGGACGAGAGGGTTCCTCTTGATATCAAATATCTTCAGCTGTGTCAGTTTGCCAAACTCTAAAGGTAGGATTGTGATACGGTTTCCTCGTATGTCCAGTTTGAACAAATTGTTGAGTCGGCATAGAGCGTTTGGAAGCTCTGTCAACAAGTTGTCGTCAACTTTCAACATGGTGAGTTTCTTCAGATGGTGCATCTCTTCAGGCAGATGTCGGATTCTGTTCTTTCCAGCGTCCAAGTCTCGGAGGCTAGGAAGCTGAAATATCACTTCCGGCAACTTCGTGAACTTATTGGCATACAGATATAGAGTGTGCAGCTTCTTCAGCTGGCCGAAGTTCTTTGGAAGATCACTGATGTTGTTTCCGCCGTCTTTGTATTGCCGGTGTCCAAGGTAAAGGATCTCGAGATTGGCCAAATAGCAAAGGTCTTCTGGGACGTTTTGTATCCTGTTTCCGCCTAGCCACAGCTCTTTCAAACTGGCGCTCATCTCCTTGATGCTTGGCGGGATACGTTCAATTACATTTTGGGAAATATTCAAACGTTCTAACCTCCTCAGCTTAACCAGAACCTCTGGAAAGACGGCGAATTTGTTATCCCATAGAGCTAACTGGATGAGATTCTCCAGTTTACTGAAGTCACGTCCCCTGGCGGGGTCGTCGGGTAGTGCTTCCAATCCATTACTATTTAGCCATAGGACGCCAATGTCAAATCCAGGTTCCTCTGTTTTTGCAATGATTTTTGTCAAGATGTTCTCTATGTCCTCCTTGGTGAGCTGCTTCCTTACCAAGTGGTTGGCATGCAGCCGCTGTCTTCCTTCTTCATCCTCCTCCTCCAACAAAAGTTCTACCTTACCGATCCTTAATGTAGAATGTGACATTTTTAGGGGTTCTCTTTTCGCGATTGACAAGCTCTAAAGACTAAGACGATTTTTTATTCCGATATTTACTCCTATAAGTCTCAGAAAAACAAGTTCTTTCTCAGTCATCCCGTGTCCCGAAGGTAACGTAAGTCAAGCGACACTTGGCGGGAAACGTGAACTACTGCAGGTGGGTCAGAACGAGGATCATTCTCTGTTGCTTCTGACATGGCGGTTATATATGTTCCTGCAATGTAAACAAAGTGTTGGTTTACATCCGAGAATGATTTCATCAGGTTAACATTATGTGACAACGCCGTACGCTTGGACCGCATTTGTAATACTGCAGTGACACCTTGCTGCTGTAAATCAGAACCAGTCATTGTCGCCCTGACGTTAGAAAAACAATGTTAGAAAAACTTCTGCTTTCCTTGAACGTATCAAGATCAACTAGTTTGCATGTAAGAGGGCCCTTTCCGAAATCAAACACAAATGAATTCAGCAGAAAACATATTCTATATTAAACTTTATCACATGTCAAACAGGTATGGCCTGAACTTATCGTGTTCGTGATGGCCCCTCTCTTACCTATCATTTACCGCATTTCTATGAATTGAATTGTTTTCTAACCTAAAACGATCAAGTTTATTTTGATGAATATGTCAAGCCGCCCCCTGAATATTTCACGCGGAATGTTTACTTTGCGCAGGTAAGTGGCTCAGTTCGTGTCTGGACATGTTCGGCACAGGCAAACATATTTTTATGATGTCGTTATGGTTGCTAAGGCAAGGTAAATGTTGACGCAAGTTGTCACATGATGGCGATATCTTTCATAGGGATACAAATAGCAACGAGAAGGGGCCAATGTACATTGTTTCAGCCCCGATGTACATTGTTCCTTAGTATAACATCGACGGAGAATGGCACAAAGGTGATGAAAACAACACAGACTCGGATGGATTACATACAATCATGTCGATGAGGAAACAGCGCACTGCTACGGTAAACAACACAGATTTTGTTAAAATACGTCACACGACTAAATTCGTTCGGCGTATCTACTAAAGATTGCCTCAAGACACATGAAGCCCACAGGGGAGGCTAAGAGGGGAAGTCAGGAAACATGAAGACATGGGGCATTGATGCTAGTGTAAGGGCAACAACAGGATGTATACCAGGAAGTACACGGGAGCTGCTGGTAGAGAGGGCCGGATGAGAACTAGCTCTTGGCGTATGGCCAAGGATATATACTAAGATTATTACTTCTCAGTCTATGATTGTCGACGTACACTTGGTACGAAAGGAAGCAGCAAGAGAAGAAATTCTTTAAACATTGCAAGCTGTGGGTATATAAAACGTTACACCACTTACAATAAATCCCTTCTCAGCTCTCGCTATATGGACTGTAACCCGACAGAAAGGTACCACAGAGACAGATGTTAACACGGGTACATTTGAGCCAGTCACGAGTATTTGCTGTGTGTACTAACTTATCAGTCACATGTATGGGGAACCCCCGCATGATCTGAGTAATAATATTTTTATTCGTATGGAAACGCCTTTACGTAACCAATTGGGAAAACGCTTTACAATTTGTTTGTGGATAACATTACATATTAGTGCACAGTGCGGGGTTAACAAACAAATAAGAATGAAAGCTCATCTGTGTTGGTAGAATACATAGTTAAAGAGTTTGACTTGTTCCAACACAATAAGGAGAACTCACCATAAATTTTCGGCTGATCCCGTCAACCTTCGTCAGATTTGTGATGCAATCGCTGACTTTCCGGAAGTCGGAAACGTGATGACGTCAGGAGTGCATCAAAAGTGGCGGGAAGACGGTATCTCCCACCATCACGGTTCAGAGAGGGTTGGTGGGCCCTGATGTAAACTGCCTCCTTCACGCCTCTCACAAAGTAATCCTGCTCCGTATCTAGAATGCGCACCTTGTCCAATGTAACTGTATGTCCGGGGGACTCGATGTGTATGTGTTGCGACACTTCCGATGTGTTTGAACTGGGGCGCCTGTGTTCCAGAAATCTAGTCTTGAGAGGCCGTTCTGTTTCCCCTATGTATGTCTCTGGGCAAGGTCCTCTGATATTTTGACCTGCGCACCGAATGTGGTAAATCACGCCACACTCTGGAACACAGGCGCCCCAGTTCAAACACATCGGAAGTGTCGCAACACATACACATCGAGTCCCCCGGACATACAGTTACATTGGACAAGGTGCGCATTCTAGATACGGAGCAGGATTACTTTGTGAGAGGCGTGAAGGAGGCAGTTTACATCAGGGCCCACCAACCCTCTCTGAACCGTGATGGTGGGAGATACCGTCTTCCCGCCACTTTTGATGCACTCCTGACGTCATCACGTTTCCGACTTCCGGAAAGTCAGCGATTGCATCACAAATCTGACGAAGGTTGACGGGATCAGCCGAAAATTTATGGTGAGTTCTCCTTATTGTGTTGGAACAAGTCAAACTCTTTAACTAAACAAATAAGAGGTTAACAACATGAAACACATTAACAACATGAAAAACATTGCAAATTGAGTCCAAGTTGTAATAATCTTTGAGGACCAGTGTCTAAAATTTCGATTTCCTAGACGTCTTGTGCTTCGGATAGATACTACGTCATTCCCGACAACGTTGTTTTCCCCCACTTTTACTCTCTATACAATATCCGGCTAGTAGCGGGCCCAGTACTGTTGGTTCCTGACTGTCACGACTATCTGACATATCTGACACAAAACAGCTGATCTGATCTGCTTAAGCTTTAAACCCTACTGCCATATTCGGAAAAAGCGGAATTCAGCTCACGTAGTCGGATTCTGCTCGGACATGTTGATAAAAACAACAAACGAAGTACTTACTGTAGTCTAAAGTCCATTGACAGAATTGGATACTGTACGAAAAATGTGTGAGTCCAACAAACGTCAAACAAACCAATGATATGTTTTAAACATTAGAATAAAGCACACGCCGGTCTTGTGACTCACTCAGTTAGGGAAATTCCCTGTGTCGTCATCCACCGTGAGTTACCGGGATACGTGAGACCCCTCCTCTTTCGTTATCCAAATTTGTCATTGTTTCTCTCCAGCCAGTGTAATGTAGACCATGTTAAATCACAATAGCACAATAGACTCAGAACTAAACCCGTGCCACCTTACTGTCCAACCTTGTAATATATCATACGATATAAGAAAAGCCGGATTATGTCATTGGCATTGCCGTTGAATAGTGGAATACGCCCCCTCCCATACATACAGACACGCACGTGTAAGGGGTTCGTTGTTGATCGTCGTGGGATTTCCGCCTCCGAGTACACGGTGTAAAGTAAGAGCAAGACAAGAAAAGAAGAGGACACAGAGCACACAAAAAAGACGTCCGTACACAAAGACTTCAACTCAAAAACCTCTCGTTTATTCTAAGAACGTGATCGAACGTCGTCGATCTTAACGTATACGTACGGATCCTAACGTAGCCGTTCGGACGTCGAACGGACGCTAACGTCGCCGTTCGAACGTCCGAAACGGCTTACCTAATGCAACATCTAAACACCTTATGTCATTCCCTACACTTTCCCCCCTAGTAATTTTTCGCCGTCCTCGGCGAACGATCACTATAAAATGTCATTCCCTACACTTCCCCCCCTAGTAATTTTTCGCCGTCCTCGGCGAACGATCACTACAAAATATCAGGTTTTAAAAAAAAAACGTTTTCTTGTCTAACTACTATAAAACGAGAGAAATGTACATGTGCCTTTACTGCTAGGCATCTGTAGAAACCATACATTTACGGTATCGGGAACTACTACCGGGTTTCTATTTCAGAGTTTAAGTAGAGTTTGCAGTGTTCACGTTCAGATTGGTGAAAACGTCGCGTCGACGTCCTTCGGCGTCAGTTAGCTGTCGGAGTTTTCGCGTCTCTCAGACTCGTCTCTCGGCGCTCGTCTCTCAGCACTCGTGTCAGCACGCGTCAGGACCGCTTACTGGTTAGTGGTTCCCCGCTGTGTTCCTCCCCTCCTCCGTGTTGCAAGGAGCACGAACGCCCGGCCGCAGTCGCCCCTCAGTTGCGGTAGCCCTCACCGGTCCTTAGTCGAAGGGTCGTCCGGCGAAGATGGCGTCGCTTCAGGGGTCCCCGTTAGGGTGATGACTCGGACGGGTCGCTCTTCCGGGATCGGATGGCGCGGCGGGAAGTGCCCTCTCCATCGCCAAGCTTCGATGTCCCACGTGGACCTGTGCAGGATGGGGAAGAGAACACACAAACACACACACCAAGCCTGACCGCCATAATCTACAAATAATTTTTGACCTCAAAGTATGGGAGAACATACTCCCACTCGGACTCAAACCCAAGTTAATATTAATTGTAGTGTCTAGTGAAGTAAATCCTACCCACCCTGGGAATCACGAACTCTACAACCAGAACAAAGTAGACTCGTTCAGCACAAAAGCACCGTTACTAGTAAATAATTACTCTAGAGCTTAGATATTATATATAGATGATCAGAATCAATTTGGGAAAGTGCAACCACCTTATCTAGCTAAAAGTAGTATGAATTCCCGAAGGGCCGAGGCCCAACCCCCGATGTCTGGGTTTCCAAGGAAAGCATAACACTTGATTCCCCCCACTAACTACAAACCCCAAGATGGCTGCACATTTCATTAGCCGAAAACACCTTATTCATTGTCTGAAAACTTCTGGGTAACGGATAGGAGGTACTCCTCTGTTCTCCCTAACCGGATATCTAGGGTCTTCCGGACCGCCATCGCCCACTGGAGGCGCTACAGGCATTTGTACAACAACAATGGGCAGGTCCCCATCCTCCTCACGACCCTCATTATCACTTTCACTATCAGTTGTGGCACTGTCTTCTGGCTCACGCCTATCTGCGCGCCCGTCCTTTTGTTCGGCACGTGGCCGCCTTGTGTTGCAGGGGTGAGGAGCAAACATACAGGGAGTTAACATATCCCTGTGTAGGGTTCTACTGGGACCACCTCCCCTCTCCGGAGTGACAACATAAACCGGGATATCCACGTTGGGTTGTCTATCTACCACGTGTGGGATCTGTTCCCACTGATCTTTAAGTTTAGAAGGACCCCGAGTCCTCTTGTTTCTAACTAAAACTCTTTCTCCAGGTAGCAAAGGAGCTGTGCGAGCTGTCCGGTCATGTAACTTCTTCTGACCTGCCTTTGCAGATTCAGAGTTCTTAGTAACTAAGTCATAAGCGTACTTATACCGTTGGTGATGTTTCTCTACCCACTCATCCGGACTTACTGTATCACCCGTGTTTTCCTCTGCAGAGTCTATGCCCAGAGTTAAATCTAGTGGTAGTCTCGCTTGTCTACCAAACAGTAGGAAGTACGGGGAGTACCCAGTGGTTGCGTGCTGTGTATTATTATACGAGTGGACCAACTCAGGTAGGTATTCAGGCCAATGACGTTTCTGCTGCCTTGTCAATGTACCCAGCATATTG